AAGAGGGGGGGCCCCATTGTGCTAGGGGCTATACACACTATACTAAATAGTCCCTTCCTTGAACAGTATACTGTTTAAATAAACCAGACAGACACAGTGTGAGGGAAAGGGAGTAGAACACACAAGCAGAGTGAACTATGTGTTGGCAGCAAATGTCATGTTAATACAGCAATTTTGGGGGGTGGGCAGCTGGGTTTATTTCAGAGGTGATCAGCTAAATGGAAAGAAAGGGGAAAGAGGTGAGGGGGGCAGGCAAAGAGGGATGGAGTAGGCGTGGACTGAGTGAAGCTGACGTGAAGAGTCAATGAGGGAAGGGAGGGTTGGAGCAAACAGACAATCTGCACAGAGCAGAGAAAGTCCAGTCAAAATGTAGGAAGTTGTCTGAATGTCCAGAGGTCCCTGCTTTGGCTGCTTCTGCTCCTACCAGCCAGAGCTACATCTTCCATTAAAGTCAACCTGTGTGGCTGAATCCCATATGCTGCTTTGACAATCTCAGCCTACACTCTTTAATGTGAAGGTAAGGGAGTTGTGCATGCACATATGTGCAGTCTGGCACTTCATGAGCTTGGGAAAAGAGGGTGGCAGGGACACACAGCATGCAACTTGCAAAGGGTCACAGCTACATGAAACCAACTCCAATTTTCACAAGCCCTTCTCAAAAGCAAGGGCTATTTCCAAGCCAAATTTCCATTTTCTGCTCCCAGCTATTTCAGTTGCAGAAGTGATTAAAAAGGTTACATGAATTTTAACAGGGAAAATATTTTTGTACTCATTCTCAAAAACTGCTCAGATGTTTCGGTTTAAACTCCTTCTCCACCCCCCAAAAAAGTCACCTTTGCACACAGACCAAGCCTGAAAGGTGAGTTTCAGAAAGTTACAAGTGCATAAAGATAGGGGGTTGGAATGGAAACCATTCTGTAGCCTTAAATATGCCATTTGCTGCTGCTCCAGGTATAGATTATCAAAGATCTTCCCAAGGTTTGTTCACTTTTCCATCTTGTCTCACCCCAATATTGTCTTTGCCATGAAGAGAACTGGCTTTTCAGGGCCTTTCCCCACATTGCCATGTGCTGGCTGTAAAAGACTGCCTCATTCACTAGGACAAAGAGAGCACTTTACAGCCCATCCCCACCTGGGATGTATGGCAACAATGTTCTGCAGCTAAGATCTCCCTGCTGCAACTCAAATCCGCAAACATGTCTTTATTAATTATTTGAACCTTCCCAGGACTGAGTCCTTGACTAGTTGTATATTGATTAAGTGGTGCATTTTTAGATTTAATTACAATCTTGTGTTCTGGAATTATTTTGTGAACAAACAGCTGCAGTAGAATTTTTACTTTGCCACAGGATGTAACACTTATCACAGAAATCAGGAGTAGGGGTGTCTTGTCACAGAATTGAGATCCAACATGCAGCAGGATACAAAAGCCCCAACTCACTAGCCACTATTAGGGCTTGTCTACACTTACATTTTATAGTGCTCTAACTTGCTGGCTCAGGGGGGTGAAAAATCACCCTGAGTGCAGCACGTTCAAGCGCTTTAAAGCGCTAGTTTGGACAGCGCCCCCAGAGCTCGGAGCTATTCCCCTCATGGAAATGGATTACCAGGAGCTATAGCTCAGTGGTTTGAGCACTGGCCTGTTAAACCCAGGGCTGTGAGTTCAATCCTTGAGGGGGCCATTTAGGGATCTGGGGCAAAAATCTGACAGGGACAGTACTTGGTCCTGCTGTGAAGGCAGGGGACTGGACTCGATGACCTTTCAAGGTCCCTTCCAGTCCTACACTTCTAGCTCTCCCACTGTTCACGCGTAACCACACTCACACTTCAAAGCGCTCCCGAACCACTCTGAAGTTTCTAGTGTAGACGTAGCCTTAGAGAGACAAGGTGAATGAGGTAATGTCTTTTATTGGATCAACTTCTGGTGGCGAACACTTGTCTCTTTCACCAACAGAAGTTAGTCCAATAAAAGACATTATCTCACCCACCTTGTCTCTCAAGATCTGTGGACCAACGCTACAATACTGCAAACTACTCACAATCATGCCATAGCCTCTTTGTCTTAGCACTGTTGCTTTCTAGGTTTCTTCCTCCCATTGAAAATGAAATTCCATGGCCTTGGTTATGCAGGTTAGACTAGATGGATCACAATGTTCACTTCTAGACTTAAAAACTACATCTATTCGTGTGTGTTGGAGAGGTTTTATCAGTGAATATTTTCATCATGCTGTTTACTTCCAGAGAACTTCTGAAGATGTTGAGTAAAACCATGTCCAATACAGATTTTTTTCTGCATCCAGTAAACATCTTCCTCCCAACTCAATACATTGCCTTTTATTACCATTCTTGTTTTCTGCTTTTCCAGCCACTTCTGAAGCCACGAGAAAATACTCACAGCCAACCCAACCTGGATAATATTGTGGCACAATAAGTGCTTTAAAGTCAAAATAACAGAAAGCCATCAAATGAGACGGGCTTGATTGTTTTTCTTCATAATTCCATGATGCTTACGCTGCTCATATCTCTGCTATCCTCCAAGATGTTTACAGACTTTTATTTTAATTAGGAACTGATAGACCTTCCAAACAGTAATTGCCAGGGTCACTCTTTCTCCCTTTTCTGAAGATCGGTAGCACATTTATTTTTCTCCAATCTCCTCCCCCAGGACTTTTCAAAATAATGGCCAATGACTCAAGAAATCTGTTAGTCATTTTCTATTACCTAGAATGCCTGTAATCCTGATACACTAATCTGCATATGTTCATATTTTCCAAGTTCTCTCATACCTACTCTCTTTATCATACCGCCCAACTGTCCAAAGTTACTTTCTGGATTTTGCTTGTTAAAGGTTAACTGCAAGGAAACTAAATTAAGCATATTTCTGTGCTGAACTGTTTCAATGGCCACATCCCAGAACATAATTCTGACCTATCATTATAGCATGGGATCCAGTGAGACTTGGATAACCATGCTGTACTCTAGGATGCTTTCAGTCAATCAGAAAGTCCTAAGAGGATTCCAAACAAGGGGAAATGTTTATTTTCAAGTTAAAACTGCTTTCTGTGGGGGATGAAGCCTGGCTATTGGGGATCATACAGCACAGAAATGCCATAATTTTTATGCAGTTCTTTGAAAAGGTAAGATTTTAGAAAGGCATTCAAGACCTCGCCCATTTAGAACCATCCTCAATTTCATCCTCATTTAATGCATCTACTTCCAATCAAGCACTACTATTTCTCCCAGGATAGCTGTAAAAGCCTCTCACATTTCCCTTATGGTTAACATTCTTTTTTTGCCCCTGTTAACTTTTCCCTCAAGGCTTAACTTCTGGTATAGTCTCATTTGGTAACCTCCCACCTTTTCAGAACAGGGGTTTATTGCCTTAAAATTTCTGTTCAACCCCTCATGAGGCCACACTGGCAGTCTCTTGGTTCTTTGCATTTTGCTCCTGGAAAGTAATCAAGATTGATTGCAGTTTCCTAAGAATCTCTAACCTTCTTCCATGATCTCAGACTTAGCACTTCCATCTCCGAGCTGAACTTTCTTCCATTATACCCACGTGTCCAGATTTCTTAACTCTCCAAAATTTGCTCCTCTGAAATCTAATACATTTGGACCACTGCATTCACGTTCCTTACTACACTGAATTCAAGTAGTTCCCAAGCTTCCTTATTACTCACACATTCTCAATAATTTTCTCCTTGTAAATCTGGGATAGATTTTCAGTTCCTGGTATCATCAGGGTGATTTCTTTGTAATTTAGGCACCTCTCTGATTATACCCAGTTATTCAAGCAGATAAAATTCCTTAAGAGCTCAGCATCCTGAAGTCCTGAGTACCCTAAATCAGGTTGTGTTCATGTGCCTACAGTCCCAGAGAGATCTCTAGTAGTTGCCCCATCTAGCTCTCTTCTGGTTTCGTTTCCTGTCTCTTACCCTCATGTTTTGCAGAAGAGGATGGCTAGGTTCCCAATCTGTTGTATCCACCACTGCCCTCTTCTCCAACAACACAGATCTCCCTGGCTTAAGGGATGCTTCAGTCCAACAGGTACTGCCCACTTCTTTCTCCCTATTGCCCACAGACTGTAACCAGACAAACACTAGCTCCAGCTAAAAAAAACGTCCCCGCAGATTCCAGTCATCACCCAGACAATGCCTTAACAACACTGCCACTCTTTGCAGGCTTCTCAAGATCTGTGGGGATTTTCAGAGCCACCCTTCAGCACCATAATGCTCCTTTGCTGGCACACAAGCCCCATCACGTGCCTTTACCAGACGAGTAGGAATCAGACCCACCTATGGTCCCTTGCAGCCTACTTCCCAGCCTCCGAGTCTCATGAGTTTGATATCCACCGCAAGGGGGGCCCAAACCTTCTCCAAACAGCCCCCCAAACTCCATGAGGCTTCCCAGCAACTCTCTGCAAATCCCCCCCCTTGCCGTGGATGGGGGTGGGGCTTTCACTCGCCGCTCACCTGGTTGAACTCTTCGTCGGCGTAGATATCGATCAGATCCACCCCCTCGGACATATTTCCAGCCGCGGCGGGAGCCAGAGCCCGGGGGCACAGGAAGGAAGCAGATGCGGTGCACTGCGGGGAGAGGCGGCTCAGTAACACGGGCCGGCCATGTGCGCCCGGCCTGAATCTACCCCCCTCCCCGGACCTACCCGCCCTGGCTCCCCTCCATCTACTCCCCCCGGCTCCCTCCCCGCTTATATCTACCCGCCCCCGATCGGCCCGCCAGCTTCACCCAACCCCCCGGGAGAACAGGGGCCCCGTCCGGCGCTGCCCTGGCGAGGCGGGCGCAGGGACACGACTCCCCCGTCTCAGGGCCCTGCCGCCAGCCGACCGGCCCGCCCTCCCCGCGGGTCCGATCCCCGCGCCAACCCCGCTGCATCGAGTCACCGGGGGGCCCCCGCCGGCCCGTTACCGCGCCGGGGCCCAGCGTCCCAAGCAGGCCCGAAGCGCGCGAACCGCTCACCGCCACAAGCCAGCGCCGTCACGCCACGCCCCTTCCGATGCAGGCCACGCCCCTTCCGCCCCTCGCCCGCCGGGACCGGAGGTACCATAGAGAGCGGGGGAGGCCGGAGTAGAGTGGCCAGGCCCAGGAAGCGGGATGGCAGTGGCGATGGGGCTTCGGGTGAGCGGGGCAGGTTTCTCCGGGGGAGCGGAGCCTGACGTTCAACCTCCGCCGCGGGTGGGCGCCCGGCTCCCTGCGGGGGTTGGGCGGGTCCTACCCGTGCCGGGTGTCTGTGCTGGGGGTGCGGGCCAGTAGGGGCAGCCCCTCCCCCTCACGCGCCCCCTCTCTCGGCAGCTCCTGTCTCTCTCCCGACGGGCTCTCCGCGGCCCCCGCCCGAGCTCGCTCCCCGCCCGGCGCGGCTATCGGGGGGGCTCCTCGGCCGACTCGCGGAAGGACCTGCTGGAGATCCCCTTGCCCCCCTGGCAGGAGCGGCCCAGCGAGCCCCTGCAGGCCAAGAGAGCCCGGCTCCTGTACGAGAGCAGGAAGCGAGGCATGCTGGAGAACTGCCTGCTACTCAGGTAAGGGGGGCCCCGCGCATGGGGGGCGGATCGGGATCTCTCTCTGGCTGCTACGTTCCCTGGATGGATTCGCTTCCTGCCCCCTTCTTGGGGGACTGGGCGGGCATGACGGTCTCCGTCTCCCCAGCAGCTCTCCCGGCTCTCCTTGGCTCTGCCGGGCTTCCCCGTCCCCCCACGGCGGGGAACCGAGGTTGCCTTTAGGTTTCGGGCCAGGTCCCGTACTGTTCAGTGTAAGTAGTGATCTTCAGAGCGAGGTCACAAACGTGCAGAGGACACGAAGTCAAGCTACAGGGGACTGCGTGGAACTTCAGCGAGACCGAGCCCAGCTAGGGGAATGGGTAGCACCATGACAGGTGAAATTCAGTGCTGATAAAATATTTTAATGCCCTATAAATTAGTAGTGCGGCCTCAGCTGGCTAAGGCGTGATTATTGTTACCCCATCTCCAAAAGGGTATTGCCGAAAAGAGGTGGTTGAGAATGATCAAGGGCCTGGAAAAACTCTCCTACAAAGAGAGAAAGAAAAAACTGAGATTATTGTTTTAGAAAGGAGACAAGTAAGAGGGGACATAAATTGATAAAACAATGACTGGTCTAGAAAAGCAAGGTTGGGAGCTTCTGTTCTCCCTGCCTCATAACAAGCACAATGGGACAGTCAATTAAATAGAACAATGGGAAATTCAGAACTGATAGAGGGGAATCCTTTTTCATACAGTGCATAATTAGCTTGTGGAACTCCCTACCACAAGAAGTTGGTGAGGTCAGGAACATGGTAAGATTGCCAAGTGACCTGACATTTCTAGCATAACTAAAATATCCAGAGTTATAATTAATGATAACAGATGTTGGCAGGGATATTACACCTCAGCTACAGGGTTAAGCTGATCTTTAACTACTAGAGGCCTGGATGAGCCCTTCTTGGGGGTAGATTATCTCACATCTGCTTGCTGCTGGCACTGGCCAGTGTCATACAGGATGCTGGGCTGGACGGACCCTGGCTGTGAGCCTGGCAGTTCCTATGTTCCTCGTGCTTCCTGGTTTCTCTCTCGCCTCACTTAGCCTCTTTGCAAAGGAGAATCTGAACAGCATGACTGAGCGGCAGCTGAACCTCTATGACCGTCTGATCAATGAGCCCAGCAACGACTGGGATATTTACTACTGGGCAACAGGTACTGTATTGCAACAGGGCCTTCTTCGGGGGAGACAGTGTGGCCTAGAGGATAGAGCAGTGGGCTGGGGCTCAGGAGACTTGGGCTCTATTTCCAGGTCTGCTGGGTGACTTTGGACAAGTCACTTCCCCCTCCCCCTGCCTCAGTTTCCCCATCTACAAAATAGGGGTGATGATACTGATCTTTGTAAAATCTACAGGAGCTAGGTTTTATAACTGGGCCCTGTCTCCTATGATGAGATGGAGCAGGAAGCTTTCTGGGATGATGAGTGTGTCTCAGCTCACCTGGGCTCCACATGCAGCAATATACAGTATGGAGATCAGAATAGCAACCGCAGTGACTCTTGCTCAGAAACTGTCCAGGGCTTCCAATCCCCATGCTTCAAAGCACAGGATGATCATAAACTGGGGGTAGGAAGGAATTCCCCTGTACTGCACTAATCAAATGGGTGCAGGGTTATACTCCCTCTGTGTCCTAGAGCTGTTTGCTGCCATCTGAGATGGGTCTCACTAGGAGGAGTGGTTAGCTGCTCTGACCTGAGTTCCCATGGTGTTTCGTGAAGCAGACTTGAAAGAGGCACTACAACTTTAGAGGGATATGAGACTGGGTTCAGTGTGACTCCTGATTGGCTGCACAAAGATGTGAAGCTGGTGACTTTGAGAAATGGGGGTGGGGATGCTGTGTCTCATCCTGTGTCCTTTCTCCCTGAAGAAGCAAAGCCCACCCCGGAGGTGTTTGAGAATGATGTCATGGTGATGCTGAAAGAGTTCACCAAGAACAAGAACAAGGAGCAGAGGCTGCGGCAGCCGGACCTGGAGTACCTCTTTGAGCCCTCACGGTGAGGCACGCTGTCTGCTCCGGGATCCTCTTCTCATCCCTAGCAGCAGAGGCTGAGGTGCCTACACCTATTTGGCAGCCTGCAGTGCTGTGGTCCTGGCTCCTGGAGTCCTCTGCCCGGTGGTTGCTTCTACCCAGGTTTCCAAACCCCACTGAATAAAGTTTCAAGCACTATCCCTGACCGTGGGAATTTCTACGTGGATTTGTCCCACTGTTGTACGGGTGCAGCAGTCCACCTCAGAAGTGGCTGCATTTCAGTGGCACTGTATGTATATAGCTTGTAGAGCATCTTGGTGCGAGAGAAATAGAAGGTGATAGCATTATGACAGTGTGCTTTGATTCATTGTGAAATTCCTCTTGTTGTTTGACTGTGGGGGCCTCTCTGATGGCTACAGCCTCTCCATTAACCATTCCTTGTAAATCCTTGTGGCCAGGGCCCACCAATGGGTAAATTCAGTGTAAAGGGAGGGGCGGGGGGGGGGGGAGAGAAGATAGACCCGCCCAGCAGGAAGAGTATCCACCACTTGCTCTTTTCCAGCCTCCTGTTTAAATACACTTGCGCCAGGAAGGGAACAGCAATGCTCACTCCCTTGTGAGGTTAATGACTGATTATGTGCCCAACCAACCCTGCAGGCTGAAAACGGTTTGCTTAAACTGAGCATTCTCCAACCTTTTCCAAGAGTGAATCCTGTGCAATTATTTTTTGTTGCAGAAGCACCTATGAGTTTCAATCATGCGCCAGGCCCCCATTGTGCTAGGCCTGGGGTTGTGCAAACACAAACCAAGTGGGCAGTTCCTGCCCCAAAGAGCTGCCATCCTAGAGAGTGTGTCTCTTGGCCGCTCCCCTCCCAATGGTGTTCAGATTGTGTCCCAGCAGCAATTGCTGCTATGGGAAAGATGCTAGGAGTGGGTTTGATGAGTTTAGCTTCGTTTATTGCAATGTATCAGCTGGAAAGGAGGAGGAGCCAATGCGATGTGACCAGCCTGTTCTCAGCTACTCCTTGGACCGCAGTCCCAGGATGCACCTGGCCTGGCTGCCATCTGTCTCTCGTGTTATCGGTAAGGCCCTGTTAAATCACGGTTTCAGGGACTGCATGGAAATTGTGAAATTAGCCCAATATTGTGATTTTTTCCAGTAAAGGGGGGAGACTGAAGTGGGGATGGAACAACTCACAGTAATGGGGTGCAGGCTGGGCTGGTTTCATCAAATGACACTGTCTATCCAGCTCAGGCTGTCGTTAGAGCTGCCTGCCTGGCCAGCAGGGAGAGGGGAGCCCAGCTGACAATGCTGCGGTTAGGAGCCCTGGCCCTGCAGCAGGCCCAGTGGAGACACAGCAAGGGCTGAGCCCAGGATCTGCCACTGGGTGCATGAGATGGTGTATTAGAGGGCCCTGCCCCAGTGCTGGGGAGTGGGGTGGAAAGATGGATTCCAGACTCACCTCCACTCTGCCAGGGCAGGGCCCCCTCACGCACCTGGTTGTGTGCCAAGTGCAGATCCTAGTCTCAGCTGCTGCAGTGTTTCCCTGGGCCCACCAGGGGCTGCTGTAGGTTGAGACAGTCCAGGGCTTCTAAGCACCATGTGTTATCAGTGCCGTCCCCTTCTCTGCACCAGCCAGGCAGGGAACAGCAGCTGCAGCCTGGACCGAGATGGGCTTGGACAGCTGGTGCCGTGTGGTGAAACAGCTGCACCGGCCCACCATCGTACCTTGCTCCTCAGCGTAGGACTGACCTGTCGCCTACCCCCATGAGTATCTGTGGCTTCAGGCGGGAGGTGGAAGCCAGGATGCCTGCTTCCATCGCCCCATGGGGAAAATTGCCGCAGTTTGGGGCAGGGAAAGGGGAGACTTGGCGGTTGTGCCTGTCCTGTGAAATTCAAACATTGAGCTGTGACAAACACCCTGCAATTTATACAGGGCCTTAGTTACAGTGGCCAGGCCTTCATTCCTCCTTTCTTTTTTTCTTCTCTCATCCTCCTTTCCTGCAAGCAGCCTCTGCAATGAGGAGACCTATGGTGCTAGCCAATGGTTGGCTTTCAGAGCCCTGGGGTTGTGAAGGGAAGAGGTGGGGGCTGGCTCTGGATAGCTGGGGACAGTAGGGATTTAGGTATCTCATTGCTACAGGGAGGGGGTGGGACCTGTCATTTCATTGCACGGCAGAGAAGTGGGCAGAAGACAGGACTTCTGGCTGGTGGAAAGGGGGGGAGCAGGGACACACACAGCAATTGATCTTTTCCCTTGAAGCTCTTGGGAAAGATTCCCAGCTCAGTGTCTTTGAGACTCAGCAGGAGCTATCCCAGGATCAAGGGAGATTAGCCTCAGCTGCAGTACCAAGGAATGGCCATGGGGTGTTGCTGCCTCTTCAATGCTGAAGGGCTGGGAGCTAAGCAAGGTGAAGGCTCCCCTGGGTTTGCTACCCAATGGCCTGACCAATCCCTCCACCGCTTGCTCTCAGCCAAGCACCCTGTGGCTGCATCTCTTCGCCCCTTGCTTTCTGTCTAATGCAATCGCCTCTTGCTTCGGCCACAGCCCCACTGGCTGCTCTCCCTGCTTCTGTTGCCTCACAGTAATGCTGGGACATGGGTGCAGCGGGCGCTTGGGTACTCTGGGCACCTGCGCCTGTGTAGTGCCCTCTGTGTGGCTCAGGGCCCATCCAGGCCAGATGCACCTATCAGCCTGTGTTGCGATCAGGCAGCAGGGCTGGAAATACCCGCAGCCCTCATCTGGGATGTTGGCCTGCATTGTGAGTGCTTGTAAAGTGCTTTGAGATCCCCCTGCAGCCTGGGCCTCCGCTCCCTCCAGCTGGAAGCTGTCCTGTTTCTCCAGCTGGTTGCTATGCACTGGTTGCTAGGATACTGGCTGTGACTGGGCAGGCCTGCACATTCCTCCAGCGAGCTCCTAACCCTGCCCAGCGCCTGCCAGGACCTTGCCAGAGCATTGCCTGGGGCAGGTAAGGGGGGAGTGGGAGAAGGGTGTGGGGTGGGCAGAGTTGGGAGGCAGCAGAGTGAGCGGGGGAAGCTGCCCGTGTGGTCCCTCTATCCCCAGCACTCTCCCCAGCCCAAATAAGTGTGGCTCAGCCCTGCCCCTGCTGTATTGACCCTCAGCGCTGAGGGGGGACTGCTGGCTCCATGGTCTCTCTGCTGAGCGTGCCAACAGGAGGGGCAGCCAGTGGCAATAGCCATGATGGGTTTATACTGCTCACTGAGACCCCCAAAGCCCCCTCCCCCTCAAAACCTTCTCCCTCAAGGATCTGATCAGCTGTCTACCAAGGTCTGCCTACGTGCAGCCTGGGGTCAGATGGGAGGTGAAAGACCCTGAATTCCCTCCGTTGGGCCAGCCAGTGTCCCTGTTTATGGCCATTGGACTTGGCTGATGGTGGAAGAGCAGGAGCTTCTGGCTCAGCCACATGTGCTGGAGTTGGGCTGGGTTCAGTGGCGTGGCAGGGACCAAACCGGCCCAGGGCTCTCCCCTGGGATCTGCCCTATCACTGAACAGGGAAGAAGTCTCAACCCCTGATTTTGTACAAAACCTTTGTGATGCAGCCCCTCTAAGGGCCTCTGCCTCAGCCTCAGCCTGCGTGGCATGATGGCTCTGAGAAGGGGCACTATCCCCATTCGTCTGCACCTGTTAACCTGGAAGTCTAACAATGCGGTGGCTGTTAACATTGTCAATTCTTTCACTGTTGATCAAAGCAAATGAGAAAGAGGAGGGAGGATCAGATGATTGCCAGCTCTTTGGGGCAGGTCTTTTTGTTCGGGTTGTACAGCACCTACTGGGATTCCTAGGCACTACAATAGTACAAATAATAATGATGGGGAATTTCATAACCTAGTGTGGGTAGCGCCTCCTGCCTGTGTCATGAGTGAAGGGGTGGAGCTTGGGTTGTGGGCAGAGCTTGGAAAAGTACCAACACATCTTATTCCTGCGCTGACCCTTGGAACTCAGAGGTGGGTACAAGCCCCTGAGATACCCAAGCAGCAGCAGGAAGGCCAGGTGCCATGAAGGGGGTTCCAAAGAGGATGGATCTAGATTGTTCTCAGTGGTACCAGATGACAGAACAAGGAATAATGGTCTCAAGCTGCAGTTGGGGAGGTTTAGGTTGGATATTAGTAAAAAAACTTTTTCACTAGGAGGGTAGTGAAGCACTGGAATGGGTTACCCAGGGAGGTGGTGGAATCTCCATCCTTAGAGGTTTTTAAAGTCAGGCTTGACAAAGCCCTGGCTGGGATGATTTAGTTGGGGATTGGCCCTGCTTTGAGCAGGGGGTTGGACTAGATGACCTCCTGAGGTCCCTTTCAACTCTGATATTCTATGATTCTATGATTAAGTAGCTTGGAGGGGCCTTCTCTGGGGCCTCTAGAGTTCGTAAGGACAGCTCCTCGGGCAGAGTACAGCAAGATGATGCTCAGCATGTGCCACTTCTTTATGGGTGGGGGGGGATGCACGTGTGCTCCTGTCATCTGAGCCTCTAGTTGTGCTGGGCCTGACCCTCTCTGGTAAGTTCCTGGACTATCTGCAAACTCCAGTCTGGGGCCAGATCGTCCTCTCTGTAGAGACAGAGCCTCTTGCTAATCCCCAGCCTGCACTGGGTAAAACTGCCCCAGAGGAGATGGGGTGGATAGCCAGGCTTGGGGAGCTCCACCAACAGGTGCAGGGAGTTCTCTGCTGGGGAGCCGGAGCAGAAGGGCTGAGGGAGGGGGGAAGAGAAGCTGAAAAAGGAGCCTTGGTTGAGAGGAGGGAAAGCAAAATCCCCTGTAGGGCTATCACCTGGTAACTCTCTGGGTGACACTGTTAGTATGTGACCCTCTGAACCCCTCAGTGCCAACTGGCAAAGGGTTCCCTATCCTGTAACAGCACTAACAGGCCTGACAAACTCACTACGCCTAGCACCCCGCTGTCATGGTATTTATCCAGAAATAGCATAGTGTAAGCCTAGGTATCAAATGAAAGCTGGCATCACGCTGGTCACTAATACCATTGTGAAATGTACGTACTGAGCATATAAATTAAAAGTGATGTGTATATCCTGGCACTGTGTCTTAAAGTCTGTAACCAGGCAGAGCTGACCCACAGGTTTCTGCCAGACAGGAGAGAAGATATGTCTCTGTATCATGTAAATTAAGCCAAATCTGTCTATGACATATACAGAAGGCTGGGAAGACACTGGAGACTAGACTGCAAGGGCTGTCCTGTCAGGGTTGCAAAGACAATGAACTTGGGGGGGGGGGGCATAAGAGGAAGGCAAAAGGACACCTTCCGTCGGGCAGAAAAAAGATCAGCACTTTTCCCATTAATGAAAGTTGGCTTCTGGCCTCCTGGGCTAGTGATACTGGGAGGTTGCCTTAGATGAGATTTTCACCTGTTAAAAGTTGTTTAGGCTCTAAGACACATGTTGTACTTTGGTTTTATGTATAACTGGCTGCTCTTATTACCCTTGCTCGGTAGCTCTTAAATCTTAACCTTTGTTAATAAACTCGGATTGGTTGTCCCTGTAAAGAGGTGCCAGGGCTATGTTGTTATACTGGAGTGGATATTCGGTTGACTCAAACAAGCTGGTGGGTGTATTGTTCCCTTGAGAGTAGCAAACATAGTAGTTACTGTGAGGGTTCAGTGTCAGGGGCTGGACACTATGGGGGGATGATTTTGAGGTGCACCAAGTGTTGCCCTTCAAGGCAAAGTAGGGGCTGGCACAGCCCTAGGAGAGTGCTTGAAGGGCTGGTGGGGTCAGGACACCCAGCTACCACCAGAAGTCTCCCTCTCACTGAGATGGGGGTAACACAGTGACTCATGGCCCCAGGCTCTCCAAGAAAGTATCCTATAGTCCTAGGCCCAGCACGGTTCCCTGTCACCTCCAGGCCCTGGCAGGATCATAGAATATCAGGGTTGGAAGGGACCTCAGGAGGTCATCTAGTCCAACCCCCTGCTCAAAGGGGGACCAATCCTTAGATGGATTTTTGCCCTAGATCCCTAAATGGCCCCCTCAAGGATTGAACTCACAACCCTGGGTTTAGCAGGCCAATGCTCAAACCACTGAGCTATCCTTCCCTGGAGTCAGAACTGTGATGCTGGGACTCGGGGCTCTGGGCCTTTCCCCTGTCCCCAGGATATCCAGGCCTCTGCGGTCCTTCCCTGCCCTGGCTCTGGGATCTGCTGGCTTGCTGCCCCAGAAGGGCAATGGGCTCAGAGCTGGGCTGTGTCCTTGCCCCTGCTCTGACATCACAGTGCCACAGGTATGACCTCATACTCTGTCGCCAGGGAGACACCGGAGGAGCAGCTGAGCCGGGCAGGGTAGGTGTCGGTCTTCTCGTCCCCATGATCAGCTGTACCACGTCCTCTGTCTCTATAGCTACTGGGCAGCCTGCCCCCCAGAGATCCAGCCCTCCCTCCACCATGGGGCGCCTCCCCCTGGGCGGTGTCTCACCCTATGTGAGGACCAGCGCTGGTGGGAGTGTGGACCCTCTGAAGTTCTACGCCACCAGCTACGGCACGGCTTATGGTAAGGGCCCCACAGGAAGTGGTGCCTGAGGGCACGTGTGGCTGTGAAGGATTAGGGGAGGGGATGGAGAAGTCCATGCCAGCCCTGGAGCCGCTGCCCCAGCAGGCCGTGTGAATGACCTTCCCTCCATCCCTGTGTGCTGATCATCACTGACCCACTGGGCTCAGGGAGCCAGCCGGCAGCGCTTCCCTCCCACTGTGCACCACTTACCCACGGTGCACTGCTGGCCTGACCCCAGCCTCAGAATCCCAGCAGGGCCAAGACCCTGGGCAGCTTCCCTAGCAAGGCCCCTGTGTCCCCAGGGCTAACCCACTAAGGACTGAATCCCCCTCACAGTTCCCCACCACGCTTGGCCCTGTCCCTGTCTGCAGCCACATAGGCTTGAACTGCCTATCTGTGCTCTCTGGTCCCTTCTAGTGGCCAGAGCCTATATAGCCATGTATGAGTCCTGCCCTGGTGCCAGTTTAACAGACCTGCTGCTTCAGCTCAGGCTCCCAAGTTTAAGCCCTGATAATGCCAACTGCCGAGGCGCCATTGCAATTTGGAGCTTGGGGATTGTCCTGGAAGAGCAAGTCCTTTCAAAGGCCCTAACAGCATTAGGGGCTCAGGAGGAGTCTCTCACCCTGAGCAAGTGTCTCTCTCTCCATGGGACCCCCCATTGCCCGTGTGGCTGATAGCTGTGATTCCCCTGCTCTGTTCGGCAGGGCAGGAGAGATTCCATCCTCGCGTCGGCCACCACTCCGGAGCCGGGTACAAATCCAATTACCGGCCTGTCATCTCTTACAAGGCCAGCCTGGATCAAGTGGATAATCCAGCTGTGGGGTAGGCTGTCCTTGAGGAGATGAGGGGGGCTGGGTACAGCTGGGATTGTGTGCAGGGTGGGGACCGTCCCATGGACTATAGACCCCTCTCCCTCCCTGGGTGTTCATCCCATCAGGACAGCCCTAGGAGTGTACCCCAGGTTGGTGGGTCTCCCTCACTGCTCCCCTCTCACCCCTTGGGAGGTGGGTGTATCAGTGCAGAGCTGGGATCATGTTCAGGGAAGAGACTGTCCTGCAGTGTGGCCTAGTGGATGGAGCACTTGCCTGGGCCTCGGGAGATCTGGGTTTTCTTCCCAGCTCTGTCACTGGCCTGCTTTGCCACCTTGGGCAAGTCACGTCCCCCGCCCGTGCCTCAGTTTCCCCATATGTAATGACCCTGACCTCCTTTCTAGAGCACTGTGAGATCTACAGAAGACCTAGCTATCATTATCCCACACTTGTTCTCTTCCTCCCGCTCCAGACAGCTCCTTCAAGATAACTATGACACAGTGACCACCAAGCACTTCCGGCCCCTCCAGCTTCCCGATGGCAAGTACCCCCTGCCCTGGAGCGTCTACCAGCCGGGGAGCGGGTTTGTTCGAGACAAGCCCATTTCCTTCCCCACCACCAAAGCCGTAAGTGTCCAGTAAGCCCTGGGTCTGTGCCTGGCCAGCTCATGGATCAAGACCCTGTCCGCCATGGGTTTGCCATTGGCAATGCAGCCTGGTGACATTGTAGCTAGAGGATTGTGTAGATGGTACGTTCCATCCCAGAGCTAGTGCTAGATTGTAGGGCTGGGGGCAGAGAGGGCCTTAACCCTTTAATAATTATATACAAGGCGACCCTTTTACTTTATTAACTACATGCAACAAGGAAAATGGAACTTACAAAATTAGCTTTGGTTGTATCCGTCTGTTGTCTATTGTCTTAGATCATCAGGTCTTTGGGACAGAGCTCATCCTGGTTTTGTGTCTGTACAGCACCTAACACCTTTGGGTATATCTACACTGCACACAAAGCCCAGGTTCTGACTCAGGTTTGAGCCCAATTCCCTCTTCCATCCACACACACATTGGTCTGACTCAGGTCAGCAAGCACCCAAGAGCCAGGTCATAGGACCCTGCTAGACTTTGACTTGGGGCTAAGCCCTGGCATTTTGCAATGTGGACACAACTTAAGCCACAGACCCGAGTCAGGAGGTCTGCATAGTGTAGTATGGACACATTAGCACAGCTGTGAGACCCTGGTCCAGTGATTGTAAGCCCAGGTTTACAATGCCATGTGGACACTCCAGTGCAGGCTTGGAAACACAGTCCACAAACCTGGGTCCTGCAGACCCGGGTTTACAATGCAGTGTAGATGCACCCACAGGGCCTGGTCAGTGACTGCAGCTCCTACATGCTACTACACAAATAATAAACAATAGCACACTTTGGTTCTGTTCGGATGGGAATATAAATAACCTGACAGTGTTAATGAGTGTCCACAGGCCTTGAAAGTGCTGCAGTCTGTCTCCTGAGCGCAGGCTCCATCAGGGAGCGGGTCCCATTGGCATGATATGACCCCAGAGGCAGGGTTACCCAGTGACTGCTTGGTGGCCTATGTGAAATGAGGAGTTTGCAGGGAGGTCTCAGTCTGGATTGGACAGGTGCCCCTGCTACATGCAGCGCCCGCACAGCTGGGGTGGGTTGGCAGCTTCAGCAGATAAGGCAAGGACTGAATGGGCATGAAGTCTGCCCTGCCCTCTCCCCCTTAGAGGGGGGAACAGCGCTAGGGCGTTGGGGCTTGCACTGCAGCTGGGGGCATCCAGAGACAGTCAGCATCCGGGAGTGCTGATTTAACACACGTACAGGTGTCTGTGCACTTGCGACGTTCCTCCCCTCCTTGGACACTCCCCATCACATCCTGCAGCAAAGGTCCATATAAACCATTCCTCGGCTCTGATCAACCCCTGTGGGGATGTAGAGGCTCAGCAGTGCCCTGTGCTGCCTTGCCCATCCTGGCTGAGTGGGGACCTGGCGCTTTGCTGCCATGGAACTCACCAGAGGGGCTCACTCTGCAGGTTAAGAAAGTCCACTTCAATACGCGGGACCAGGGGCCGCGAGCCATCACAGGGCTGGAGCCCAGACAACTCCCTGTCCTGCACAAGCCCCAGGGGAAAGGCTCCGTCGAGGGGGAGAACGCCAGACACGTGAGTGCAGCACCGGCTCTCCCCGGGCCTTGTCCCGCTGGACACATGTCCTGGGCATTGCAGCAAAGCAAGGGGGACAGCCCTGGTGTGCCTGCGTGCTGGAGTGAAGGGGAGATACCCTGGCACCAGACTGGAGGGCTCCTGCCAGGGGAGGAGGGTGAGGGTCTTCTGCCAGGGTCTGTGAGAGCCCTGGGTGGGGGGTCTTCTGGCAGGATGGGTACTAGGCTGGGGAGGTGGGTAGGGGCCTACTGGCAGGCCGGGTGCAAGGCTGATTCCCCTTCCCTGTTCACTCGCTCTCTCCTGCTCCTTGCAGGGCCCTCTCTACATGTCCACAGAGTATAACTCCAAGTTCCGCTTCGACGGTCCCAGCCAGCCAGGTACGGTCCTTCCTGGAGCCCCTTGCACCCTCCTGAGCCATGTCCTGGGGCAGCCAAGCAGGCCTCTGCCATAGGCTCACTCATAGGAGCTACACCTGTACCCATCCCCCCCGTCTAAGCAGCACTGGGCCTAGCCAGGGCTTGGAAAGGCACCCCGGGTACTCTGTCATGAGCCAGTGCCCCAGCCTGGTGCCAAGGGGCATTGCGCTGCTGGAGGATGCTGTCTCTTGTCTGAGACAGGAAGCCGAGGTCCCAACAGCTTGTGGTTATTAAAGGTCCCCTGGGACTTTTAACCCGTTTCCCAGCCAAATTCCAGTTCATGCGCTTACCTCCTGCCTCCCCAAATTCCTCTGGCAGTTTCAATTGGCCGCGCTCTTTGTTTCCCCTGCCTGTCCTACCTCGTTGTGTCATGTCACTGTGAGCTGGTAAGCACGTTCCAGCCCTGAGGTGGCTGCATTGCAGTGATGGGGAAGTGATCCCATGTCTTACTGGAAACCCCTTTATGGTCTGTTGGATGGAAAGTGCTATGTACAAGATGACTTGCTATTCTCATCCGGCAGCCCCTCTCTGTCCCCTGCCTGGGAGCACAACCCTCTGTCCCTCTAGCCTTAAGAGGTGGGGTCTCCCTGCTGATGAGCTGTCTGACCCTGGGGAAGTAGGGAGGAGGTGTTACTGGAACCCCTAACACGAAGGGAACCCTAGGTGTACCATGCTTTTTACTGGCTAGAACTGTCTGGGAATGGTAAGGGGTGTGGGGTTCCCAGGGTTGGGGGAGCATGGGGAGCTCTCTGAATTGTCCCCTGAGCATGAGCCATTCCTGGGGTTCCCAGTTCCTGTCTCCTGCGCAGACTATGCCGGCTGCACAACTTCACCCCTGTCATTCGCATGGTTCTTTATCCATACGATCGCTCTCGCCTCCACGCAGCCACCTATGCTGAGGCCACCCTTCAGGTCGGGAGCGTCAGAGGCAGGGTTCCATGCGCAGCCCCCTATCCAGTTGCACCGCTACACCATAGCCCGAGCCCAGGCTCACTTGCTGTTTCTCCACAACAGCCCGGGGCCCTCCCTGTGATCTTAGCTACCCATGGGCCACCTCGAGATCTTTCCTCCCCCTCCTATGTGGGCTGGTCCCACAGTCGTCATGGCCCAGCTTATCTGAATCCATTGGCTTGTCCGGCGATCGTTTTCTCTCTGGTGCTCTTAGCTCCCGTGTGCACCTCATTTTTCATTCAACCCGCAGCCCAGTTAAGTGTGAGGCTAATGCAGACGCAAGCCGGGCTTGCCCTATGGGAGGCTCTGTCTCCCTCTAGTGGCTAGACCAAATGGAGGTTGATAAGCCAGCTCCCGCCTTCATTAATGGAGCTGATCTTTCTGCTCTGGCCGGAGAGGCTGGTGATTTTAGAGACAGAGGTCGGAGGTTCAAACCCCGAGGTGCACCGTTACATGACTTCAGGTGGCTTAGATATGTTGGTTGTTGCCCAGCATTGTTGGACTCCCTCTGGGAATGTGGGTGACCGTGTACTCCCGTGCCTCGTCTCCCGTTACAGATTTCTTACAGAGGAAGACGATAGGAGCCAAGGAGGAGACGGGATTCACTGAGGGCACCCAGCGGAACCCCATTGCAATCTTGCCACCTCCTCCGGGAGAGCCAGTAGGTGCTGGGCCCTGGTCTGCTCCCCCGGTGGTCATCTCTGCACTGGGCTGAGTGGATCACAGCACCCCCTTTGTACCTGGGGGTGACCCAGCTGTTCATGCCCACACTTACCCAGGAGCCTGTGCAGCTTGCCCCTCCCCCCCTGCCCCCGGTTTCCCAGCCACTCCAGTGGATTTCTCTTCCCCCCGCCCCTTTTGTTCGGAACCGTCTCTGAGCGGCAGCTGGGGTGAGTCTGAAGGCTCCTGTGCCCCCTCAGGGCTGCCCTGGAACACATGCCAAAGCTGTTTGGGGCCCAGCATCCCAAACACGATCCCCCCCTTACACACACACACACAACACACACAGCTCAGCTACATGGGGGAAGAGAAGGGGAGGTCACCCATAGCCTGGCCTCATCCCTACCAGCCTACCCCCCATGTCATGGGCCAGCTCCATACACCAGCAGATTCCTTAGTAAGATCTCAAGGGATCCCCCTTAGATCCCAAGGGGAGGAGCTGGCCAGGCCTGTCTGGGGAATCCTGGGCCCATCCTGCATGGGGAAGGGGCCTCACTGCTCAGTGTTTCCCTTGCAGAGGAGCCAGCCTGGCATCAGCATCACCAAGATGGACTTCCTGCCCAGCACTCTCCCCCATGTAAGAGGGGCTGGGAGGGGGGAGAAAGAGGAGCAGAGGGAGGATAGCAAAGGGTGGGAGGGTCACCCAGAGATGGGGGGCAGGATGGGCAGAGTGGGGGAGTCACCCAGAGACTAAGTGGGGAGGGCAGAGTTAGGGTCATTCCTGGGCTACAGCTCCAGGCCAGAGAAGCCATTTGGGGTGCCCTCTCCCAGCATCCTGTAATAGGTGGCCAAGCCCCAGTGCTTGGGCGGCTTCCAGTTCGATCAGAGCCTGTGACCCCACAGAGGCCGGGCTGTGACACCCTCTGCCCTGCTCCCCCGTGCGGGCGAGCTGGGTGGCTGCAAAGTCCTTGGGATGGGGGAGGTGACACTTTGACCCTGGCTGCATCACTTTGTCCCACTCCTGTCAGGGCGATGAGTTCCTGCCTGTGCTGTCGAAGGGCTCCGAGCGAGAGACGGGATTCAGCCGGGACAAAGGCAATGGCCTCAGTGCCATGGTGAGCGACCTGCCTGCCTCACTCCATCCTGCCTGCCCCCTCCAATCCACTGACACCCCCCATCCTGCCTGCACCCTCCATCCCGCCTACAATCTGCCCCCGCCTCACTGCCCGCCTCTCTCCTTTCCACTGGCACCCCCCATCCTGCCTGCACCCCCCATCCTGCCTACAATCTGCCCCCGCCTCACTGCCCGCTCTCTCCTTTCACTGGCACCCCCCATCCTGCCTGCACCCCCATCCCGCCTCCAATCTGCCCCCACCTCCCTGCCCGCCCCCTCCTTTCCACTGGCACCCCCCATCCTGTGCCCCCTCCATCCCACCTCCAGTCTGCCCCAGCCTCCTTGCCTGCCCTCTCCATTCCACTGGCACCCCCCATCCTGCCTTCAGTCCTCCCTGTCTGCCTGCATCCTCCTCTCCACCTGTAACCTGTCTGTGTGCTGGTCTCTCTGTCTCCTCCCTCCCAGTCTGTGACTGCCCCCCCCCATTCACCTGGTCTCCTCCTGCCCCCCAGGGCCTGCTGCATGCAGCACCCCAGCCTGGGGCCGAGAGATCAGAGCCCCTGAGCCACGCTCAGTTCCGAGGGCTCCAGAGGCCCCTGCAGACCCAGACCAACCTGCTGGGCCGGGAGTACGTGGGGAACAAGGTGAGTGTGAGCACGGCCTGTGCGGCCTGTCCAGCGTCCCGCAGATCCCTCGGGCCTGGCCAGCTCAGCCCTGTGTCCCCCCTCCCAGGAACTCTCCGGATTCAGCATCAACAACAAGAAGTATGTGACACCTCCCTATGACCCGGACTTGCCCAACAAGTACCTGAGCAGCTACAACTCCAAGTGAGTCTGGAATACTGCCACCTCCTGCCCCTGGGGGAGCTCTATCCTGCCTTCCCCACAGCCCAATCTGCCCCTGGGGGGAGCTCTACCTGCCTCCCCACAGCCCATCCTGCCTCTGGGGGGAGCTCTATCTGCCTCCCCACAGCCCATCCTGCCTCTGGGGGGAGCTCTACTTGCATCCCCCAGCCCACCCTGCCCCTGGGGGAGCTCTCCCCTGCCTCCCCCAGCGCTCTCCCCTCTCTCCATGTGCATGCCCTGTGTGTCTCTTGGTTTGAGTGGGGGTGCCCTGACCGGGTGTGTGGCGGGGAGGGAAGCGAAGGGGGTCGCTCGGCCAGTGGGGAGGGGTCTGAGCAGCTGACAGACCCAGCAGGATGCAGAGCTCTTTGACTCTGTTTCCTCCCCTCTGGCAGGTTTTATGACAACACCCTCAAGGGGGTGGACCGTGAAGGATGGACCCGCGGAGGAATCCAGCCCCAACAGCCAGGTGGCTTCGCCACCAATAACCACGTCACTGAACTGGGCAGCGACCCCAATGCCACGGAGACCCTGAGACGGGTCCACCCCCATGTCGGCAGGTGAGGCTGGCCGGTTCCCACTGCCCTCCACCCTGTCCCTGACATCCTCCTGCCCCTCCTCTTCCCTCTGTGACGCTCTTCCCCTCTGCTCCCAGGACAATCACAACAGTGGACCCGTTCTATTGCGACACCCCTCACGACAGCCGCTTCTCTGCTCTTTACCAAACCGCCGTACCTGAGTAGGTAAGGGGCCTTGCTGGGCACCTCCCAAGGCAGCGGGGCTGGGATTGAGCTACCCCCAGTTATGCAGTGGAGCACCAGGGCACGCACCCAGCAGAGACCTGGCCAGTCAGCTGTGAGCACTCAGCCCTGGTGCTGGAGCTGATGAGGCCAGGTGTCAGGATCTGCTGGGCCTGGATCAGGCTTTCTGCTCCCTCCAGGGCACAGCTCATGGCATTTCCCTTCAGGGGACACTGGGAAGGGAGTCCCAGGCCCTTATGAAGAGTGGGGAGCATGACTGCTGTAGGCTAGGCTGCCCATCCTCATCCCTGTCCTTTCCCCAGCCTTTGGGGAGGTGGTATGGGTTCCCCAGGGCCACTCCACATTCTCCATTCCCCTCTTGGGGTCCCCCCCACTTTGCCAGATTTCAAGGACCTCTTCTTTGCTTTCTTGCAGATCTGTGCCTCCACCCTGCAGGAGCTGGTCTCCCTGGGCGAGGCAGGGACTCCAGGGCTGGTCTCCCTCGGTGAGGCAGGGACTCCAGGGCTGGTCTCCTCCGGCGAGGCAGGGACTCCAGGGCTGGTCTCCTCGGCGAGGCAGGGACTCCAGGGCTGGTCTCCCCCGGCGAGGCAGGGGCTTCAGCATCTCCCAATGGTCTTTACTTCTCCAAGGATATAAAGAGAAATCATCACCCAGTGAAGGCTCATTTGTTCTCAGTGGCCTAACTGCCAGCCCCCCCACCCCTTAGATCCCACAGACCTCTCCTCCTCTGCCCCATGGCCCCATAAACTTCTCCTCTTCCCCAGGGACCCCAGGGGCCCCTTCCACCCCCGTTCCCTGCTGTTCTCACAGGGGAGCCCTCTGCTGTGCGAGCTGACCCCAGCTCTCATCCCACACATAGTGGTACCCATGTGCTGCCATGGGAGCTGGATGGGGTCTTTGCATCTGAAGGATCAGCTGGTGCCTCCTGGCAGAAAGGGGAGCACAGCCCTTCCCCAGCACCTTGCCTGCTCTGGCCTGCGGGGGAGAAGTGCCAGGGCATTCCTGGGCCCTGCAGTTCCATTGTTTTGGCATTCGGGCCCCATCCTGCATGGTGCTGAGCAGTGGGAGAGGAGGCAGCCTGGCATCACGCAGGATCAGGCCCTTTGACTTGAGACAGGAAACTGGGCCCTGTGTGTGCAGCAGTAAATGGAGTTAACCATTAGACATGTGCTGCAGCCACCTGGGCTACCCCAGCTCACCCCAGGGTCTCTGCAGGGCCTGGCACTGTCCCTGCAGGGCCCTGGGGCTGTTACCGTGGGGCCTAGGGATGTTCTCGCGGGGCCTGGGAGCTTTCACCGGCACCAGGGTTGCCTTGATTTGGCCATTAAATCATCACCCTCAATGGAACAAGGCTCATTTACAGCAATGGAGGAGCTGGTGATTTGTTCTTCAAACGTAGCCCTGTTGCTAAGGCCACCCAAGACCCAGCGGAGACTGCTGAGCTCTGGAGACGGGGGACTGAACCTGCCCTGCAGAGGCACGCTGAGAACCAGTGAGGCTAGGTCACTCTGTAATGTCCCCCTGCCCCCTGCCCCCTCGGCAGAGTCTTCACTCAACGGCTGCTCTCCAGACTTAAGTCCAGGGCCCTGCACTGACTCCAGCTGAGTAACTCTGGGTTTGCCTGGCAGGATCCCCCTCTGCCTGGCTGTTTCTCTTTCACAGCTCAATCGCAGTGCTGTTTGTGATGGTGGAGGCAGCTGTGTGGTGATGCTGCTTGGCTCAGGTGCCCCAGCATGTCGGTAATGCCATCCCGCTCATGCACGTATGTTAGGAACTGACTGGCGAGCTTTCCCTTGTGCCCTGAAAGGAGCAGCATTTGGCCCAGCAGCACTGTGGCGGTACCCAGATGGGAGAGGGGTAATAGCAGAGCGATGGGCTGGAATTGTCTCTTCAGCTGCTAGCTGGTAACTGTTAATAGACAGTCTGACACACCACTGCGTTTCCTCCCGGTCCTGTCACACTGTGCATCTACACATGCTGCATTTAAGGACTCTCTTCCTACTGCTCCCCTCCCCATCCCAAACAGCTGGCAGCTCGATTCCCACACCCTCAGCATGTCCCAAATTCACCGGCACCACATGGGGTGATGTACAGGTAATAGGATCTTTTCCCATGCCCCATAACCTACTGTATGGGGTAGTGCACACAGAGTAGTCTCCACGCTCCCAGCATGGTGTGATAGTACACACACAAAGCAGGGTCTCCAGACACCCAGCATGGTGTGATAGATAGATAGATAGATATACACCCACACACGCACCACATTCCCTGCATTGTGTGATGCACTCACGTACCATAGGGTCTCCACATTCCCAACATGGCGTGGTGTACATGTGCCCACACACAGTCGGAGCTCCACATTCCCAGCATGGTGTGATACACACAAAGACAGAGTAGGGTTTCCAGCCTCCCAACAAGGTGTAATGTTATATAGATACACAGTGGGGTCTCAATTCCCAGCATGGTGTGATGCTCGCACATGCAATAGGGTCTCGAGGCTCCCAGATTGGCATGATGCACCCATGGACAGTGGGATCTCCCTGCATGGGGTGATACAAGACGTAAGCCTTTTTCCCTATTTGGTGTAGTATTGAGCTTTTGGCTCCTGGGGCTGCAATGCACACCCGCTGCACTCCTGCCCTCGGTCTCACTTTCCGCCCCAAAACATGATATCTCCCTCTTTCCAACTCTCATGTTTCTCTCTGGAGGGTAGTTTCATTTCCTAGTGCATGTTTCATGAGCTGGTGTGGGGCCTCTGACTTTGACAACAACGAGCACAATCAGTGATACCAAACAAGCCGGCCTCATGTTGCAGGTAACACTACCTGGCTGCAGCTCTTTCCAGCACACCTGAGCCTGCCGACAGCTGATCTCCCCCCCACCACACTCTGCAGAGGGGAAAGCTGGGTGGGGGCTGTAGCTTTGCCCAGCAATCCTGCTACATCTCACAGCTTCTCTGGCTACAGCTCACTCGGAGCCTTGACTTACCTCATGTAATGCTAGATATTAAAGGAAACTGCAAGTGAGGGGTGAATTCTGAGTGACCGTGTGTGTGTGTGTCATGGCCTGCATCATGTTTGTAGTGTGTGCAGGAGTATTTAGAGATGGGTAGATCCTATTGGTTCCATCAGCCATAGCCCCTCCTGCACACCTGGGCTAGATTCTCCCCCATAACTGCATCTAGTTTACATGTCCCAAGTGGCCGGCTTCCCACAATCTGATGGATCTAACCGCTGGGAACATTTTCCTGGTAGGCAGCCTAAATTTCCCCTCATCCCATTACTTCTACTTCTACTTCCCCTCCCTCTTTCCACCCACATCCCCGCCCCAAGAATCCCTCCATCAGCTTGACATACTGCAGGGACTGCCAAACTGTCACATTCTCCACTGCCACCTGGCTTATCCAAGCAGGATAGAGTTCACTCCTTTAATCTCTCCTCATAAACCAGCACCTCCAGCCCAGCCGTTTCTTTTTGTTATGCTTCTCTGACCTCCCTTAAGCCTCTGGTGATGTGGGACCCCAACCTGACTACAGCAGGTCTGGCAGCAGAGCCAGATAGCCGGACCTCTCTGCCCTTATGATGATCATGATAATAGAAGGGCAGAAGCATTATCCCCATTTTACAAATAGGAAAAATGAGACGGACAGGCAAAGTGACTTGCCCAAAATCATCCAGCAGGCCAGTGGCAGAGCTGGGAATAGAACAGAGGTCTCCTGAGTTCCAGTTCAATGCCCTGTCCACTACCTTTGCCTGTATAGCACAGAATCACACTGTTTTTTAAATTTTTGCTGTCCTATCACATCTAATGTCCTGTCCCTTATAACTCATATCTCTGCCTTAGCCTAACTGCCTGTTGGATTTCTCGTTCCTATTGCGCATCTATCTATGGGATTATATTTCTCCAGCTGGATTAGCTGCACTTTCCCAAGATGGGTCTCCCTGTGCTGCTTGCATTTGTGTTTGAGTGCACAGCAGTTCTGGATCTGACGCTGTGTGTGTGTGTGCCTGCCTGCGTGAATCCCATGCCCGTGTGCATGTTTGTGTGTATGCCTGTACATGGCAGGTGATCCCAGAGAATGATGATGCACTAGGTAATGGACCATTGTTTCATGTCTGTTCAGAGCACCAGCAATGCCCTAGCACAGGGGAAGGCAAACTCCGGCCCATCAAGGCTTTCAATCTGGCCCATAGGATTGCCAACCCCGTGGTGCAGCAGGGCTAAGGCAGGCTCCCTGCCTGCCCTGGCCTTGCGCCACTCCTGGAAGCAGCGGGCACCACATCCCTGCGGCCCCTGGGGGAGAGGCGGGGCAAAGGGCTCTGTGTGCTGCCCTTGCCTGCAGGCACCACCCCCACAGCTCCCATTGGCCAGGAACGGGGAACTGCGGCTAATGGGAGCTTCGGGGGTGGTACCCACAGGCGAGGGTAGCGTGTGATGGAGCCGCCTTCCCCACCCCCAGGAGCCATTGCCAGACATACTGGCCACTTCCAGGAGCGGCGCAGGGCCAGGGCAGGCAGGGAGCCTGCCTTAGCCCTGCTGCACGCCGCTGCCACCCCTGAGCCGCTCAAGGTAAGCGGCACCGGGCCGGAGCCCCACCCTGAACCCCTCCTGCACCCCAACCCCCTGCTCTGAGCCCCCTGCTGCACCCCACCTGCACCCCAACCCCCTGCCCTGAGCCCCCTCCTGCACCCTGCTTCCCTCCTGCACCCCACCCCCTTGCTCTGAGCCCCTTCCTGCACCCCGCATCCCCCCCACATCCCAATCCCCTGCCTTAGCCCTACATTCATGGCCCTACATACAATTTCCCCACCCAGATGTGGCCCTCGGGACAAAAAGTTTGCCCACCCCTGCCCTAGCATGAAGCGAGCATATGGGTGTGGAGCTGAAACGTATGCTGGTTGTTGATTTCAGCTCAGAAGACAGACAGGGCTGTACATAGCTCTGAAAAAAAAATTCCCTGTTACCTTTACAACCATCTGGAGTGAGACTCATTCAGAGCAAGCGTTACTCATGACAACGGATATATAAAGGACTGAGGAGGAGTTAGTACCAAAATAACTAGCCTGGGGACACAGCCACAGAGTGACTGGGGATAAGGGGAGAGCTGGCAAGGACTGAACCATGGTATACTGTTCAGGGGGTGTATGAAGGAGTCTGACCAGCTGATGGCTCACCCCGGTAGTCAGTCACAGTCATTGTCTGGAGTAAGGGCCTGCTCCAATTCCCCTTGAAGTCAATAGATAACTGTCCATTTCCATGTGGTTGGATCAGGGCCTGAGAGCAGCGTCCACCACAGCACAGGTTCAGGAGGTGTGTCCCCGTTGTGGCTGTATGCATACACGTACGTGTGTGTTTATGACAGGCCCTCGTACTGGCCTGCGTCTGATTCAGTGTTTGCGCGTGCTAGCCCTGTGCTGTGCACGAGTGCTGCTTGATATAAGCTTGCTAGTGAGAACAGGGTTAACTCCCGCCCCACACATGCCCACGGGTTCACGTGAGCAGGCCTGGCAGAAGAAGGTGCATGATTGTAGCTACAGTTCTAGCCTGCGCTTGGGTTTGTGTAATGAATCCTGCAGAGGGGTGTTAGTGCACAGGCCGCTAGCTGATGAGGCTGCTCTTTCTCCTTTGGCATCCTTTGCTGTGTTTAAAATGAAAATTGATCACAGCTCGAGACAATCAGGGTCTGAGTTACAGAGGCGCTTAGCGCCCCCAAGGAAAGCAATGGGACTTGGTGCACAAAAGGAAGGGTGGGCTTGGAGCTGAGGCACTGGAAGACCTGGGTTCAGTACCTGGCTCTGCCCCAGATGTGTGGGACCTTAGACAAGTCACTGCATTTCTCTGGGCCTCATTTCCCCATGTGTAAAATGGGGATAACAATCCTTCCTTTGTCTGTGTAGACTAGGCACTCTTCAGGGGAGGGGCTGTCTCTCACTGTGTGTCTGTGCAATACCTGGCACAAGGGGCCCTGATCTCAACCAGGACTGGGACTGTCTCTCACAGTGCGTCTGTGCAGCACCTGGCACTATGGGACCTGATCTTGGTCAGTGCCTCTAGGTGCCGCTGTAACACAAATAATAATAGCAGAGCTCAGAGCCTGTGGAAATCAGCCCCTTGGGAACTCAGGTGGGGCACCCAAAATTAATCAATGGTTCTGAGATTCTGGGGCTCCCAGTTTTGTTACAGGTTGTTTAGTGTCTGTGCACTGTGAGTAACACCAACTGCTCCTGGGCACTTCTTGTACAGCAGCAGTTCTTGCCTCCCAGTCAGTAACACCCGGGCAGACACACTCTTGGGCTGGACAAACAGGCAGTGGCTGTTTGTTCTGGGTGATGCAGCATTAACAGGGTGGGGCAGAATGTTGGGCTGACCCGGGGGAAAAGGGAAGTGAGAGGCTGACCTGACCTAGGGCGATGTGGGGGTGGGAAGTAAAGGGGATAAGGGCAGTCTGCCCCAGGCTTGTGACAGGGGGTTGAGTGTCTGCTTCACTGAACCCCCACCCTGAAGAGTGAATTCTCAGCTCTTAAGTGTTCTCCAGTGCTAGTGGTGGGAATGGACCTCAGACTATCTAGTTTAGCTAATCAAAAATATTCTAATCACATTCTTATCCCACGGTCAGCACTGAGGTATTGTGCAATGAGACGTGAGGGGCTTGGCGTCTCAGCCCCCACTACCAGAACATGGGACGCTGGGTTGCCCCATCTGTAGTTGCAGCACAGGAACAAACTGGACCACATTACACTCTCTCCTAACTTGGGCAAAACCCCCATTGACTTGGGTCCTTACTTAGTACAGGCTCCGTCTTTAGTCTGGCAAACTCCTGTTGACATTGGTGGGAATTTTGCCTGAGTAAGGTACAGTACCCCACATGCAATCTATGGGAGATTGTCATTGGGACAGCTGCCACTGGAGGGCTGTCTGAGTATAATTTTTCCCAGGGAAGGTCTTTTGGATGACACGGCTGATTTGAAGAGGGAACTAAGGCAGGAGAGTGGCTGGGTACAAAACACCTGGAGGGATGTGTAAGAGGCAATAAGAAATACACAACTGCTGATTGATAACTATAGTTCAATGCATCTTTTGTCTTGGTGGGATGAGATGGGGCAAAAATGAGGGTAGGGGATGGGATCTCTGGTACCAGATCAGGGGTCTTGGTTCTGCCCATGATCCTTTTCTGTGACAGCAGGGTCTCCACCTGGTACTTCAGAGCCTGGGGTTGTTAAGCTATTTCTCTAACCTGGGAATGAGGCAGGGTGTATTGAGAGTGGTGTTAATGGATCTGGAGAAGGTGTCTGTGTTCTTCTGGAGAAGGGTGAGAGCTCACTGCCAGCCACAGGGAGAAGGATAGAAAAAGGGGAGGAGAGAAGATAAGCTCTCAAACTGAACCAAAGTAACTAGACTGTGCTGAGGAAGAGAAATTATGGCTTTTTTATGGAGGAGAGGAGACTCAGGAATGTCAAAAGATGAGGAGCTGCAACAGTTTCCATGAGCAGAACCTGGATACAGGAGAGGAGCCAGGACTTGATAATTTAAAACTCACTGAATATGAGTGAAACAACTAGTGGACAATGTTTGGGAACATTACTGTAAGAAGAGTAGGTACTTGGGGTGGAACAGAATTGAGGGTGGCAAGGAATGAGCTGAGGGAAGGGCCAGATGCACAGCTGGTGTACATCTGCATAAATCCATTGACTATGTCCATTCCCACCAGCCGAGGAGCAAGACCGTCATCTCCAGCAGGGCCACCAGCTCTAGGGATAGGTACTGACGCAGACCTTTGCTGTATTCTCAGAATGCAGTGGACAAAAGGGTCAGTGCAGGGCAGTCAAAACCCAGTATCTCAAAAGGGATAAGCATGACTGAGTCTCTGAAAGAAACCACGCTGGGTGACGTGATAGTTTATGGACTGTCCCTTAACATGCACATGCATGCATGTTTGTGTGTGCATGGATGTTTGGTGTGTGTAAGCCTTCGGATACCACAGTGGTGGCATGGTATATGAATCTACACAGAATAGAATAGAAATGCATGCATGTTTGTATATGTTTGCTGTATGAATTTAGGCACGTGAAGTTGTGTGCGAATGTGCATGAGTTTTCTGTCTGTTTATGTATGTATGTTTGGGCATGTAGGTGAATTAAATATTTGTGTATGGCATAGCTTGTGCGTGGGTGTAAAGTCAGTGTGTGTTTGTTTGCATGTAATTTGAATGTGTATGTGTTCTTTACATGTGTATATTTGTGCACAAATACTGTATATGTGTGCATGTTTGCTCTGTGTACTTAGGGACACAGGTGAATGTGTGACTGCAGATATGTATAGGCATGTAGGTGATTTCAGTATTTGTGTATGGCATAGACTGAAAATTCAGTGCGTTTTGTGTTTGCATGTAATTTTAATGTGGTATGTTTGTTCTTTATGTGGGCATATTTGTGGACAAATACCATACATGTATGTGTGCTTGTGTGCATATGCCCAGGTGCATGGAGGTGAGTTCATTTGGTGTACAGATCTGCATGTACATGAGGTCAGCATGTTTGTGTATGTGCCTCTTGATTTTGTTGTAGGACACAGGAGCTCATGTATGTGGGCATGTGGATCTCTTGTGGGCTGCATTAAGTGGGAGGAAGGGGATACTGAAAAGATACAGGATAAACCACGTATGAGAGAATTTTGTTTTCAATGTGATTTGGTTGAAAATGAATGAGATGAAATGAGAAGGGGGCGGGGGGGGGGAGAATAAAGGCAGCTGCTGTGACCTCTGGTAACCTCTGGGCTAATTGGCTTCACTCTGTTGGGAGATCAATAAACTCTTGTCAGCACAATTCCCATTCCAGCCTCTCACAGGAGCTCACAACAAACCTACTAGGCCTCTGGGTAACAAACAGAAATACCCCACTCCCAACCAAGAGCTGGGACTGGGACACAGGCCTGATCCTTCTTTAGTATCAAGACATTCCTACAGGGAGGGGGACAAACAGGGTTTATTATTTATTAAATTGTCACTGCCAGCCATGTGCTCACAAGATACAGCTATACAAGATACAGCTATGAAGACAGTTCCACCCCTGAGGCTAAAGTGCCACAGGATTAATTGATAAAGGAATAACTCTCCTGATCAAAGGAACTTCCAGGGTACCAGCCTAATCCAAGCCATGCAAACTGCCTGCCTAATCCAAGCCATAAAAGCTGCTTGGCTTGGGAGAGCCTGCCTATCTAAATGCCAACCTAATCCAAACCATGTGAGCTGCCTGAGTTCCAACCAACTCAAGGCTGGTTGAGTGTATGAGAGATGGTTGGGGTCTTGTGGGAGGACCTTTATTGGGTTTGTAAGGAAGAATGATTTTGTGCATGCCCAGAAAAGCTGGTTGGGTGTATGCTGGAGGTTGGGGGGTGGATTAGGTGGAAGGTGCGGTGCTGTGTGTATGTGTTGGTTGAGGGCATGGAGGATAAGGATTGATGGGTCCTGTTTTGTACACCAGGCTGCGTGAGCAGGAATTGTTAGTGTGGTTTGAGGTGTATCCAGGGGGTTGCCATATGAAGGAGAAAGGACTGGTCGGAGAATTCTAAGAGACTGAAATCCCATGAGATTGAATGCCATTAATAGGCTGATGACCCTCAGCTCTACATCTCCAGTGCAGGGGATGTCACTGATGTGTCTGAAGGAACCTGGACAAAAGGAAGCTGGCTTCTGTTAAACCCAGGGAAGAGGGTACCCCAGGTAATGTTAGTAGGAAAAGGAAAACTTTCTGAGGCAGTGGTATTTGCAGTGGCACTTGCCAAGCAGTCAAGGCAGTGACAAGTCTTGGGGTGCTCATCGCTACTCCTGGATACGCAGACAACAAGAGTAGCCGGTGATATCTTCTTCCTGCTCTGACTAACCAGAAGACTCTCTGTTGCGCAGGGGTGTGTGTCTGTGAGGGAGTTGTAGAAAGGTGTGCTCATGGGATGTAGCAGAAGTAGGTTTGTCGGTGTTGGTATGCAGGGAGACCTACGGTGGGTGTAGTGGGGGGGAGTTTATCAGCGTAGCTAGGAGGGGAGTTGTGTGGTGGCTGCAGGAGGGAAGGGGAGTTCCTTATTGGAGCTGGGGGTTGCGGGGTGGGGTGGCTGTAGCTGGGGTGGGGGGCGGCTCTTGCTGGGGAGGGGGTTGTGTGGTGGCTGTAGGAAGGCAGGGAGTCTGTGTAGCTGAGCTGGGGTTCTGCAGCGAGTGTAGCGTGGGAAGGGGTTGTGTGGTGGGTGTACCTGTAGTGTGGGGGTTGTGTGGAGGGTAGGGAGGCTCTCAGTGGAGCTGGGCTGGGGTTGTGCAATGGGTGTAGCAGGGGAAGGGGTGTGGTGGGTGAGCCTGGGGCTATAGCTCTGGGGTGTCTGTGCCCTGTGTAGCCTAGGCCGTAGTGGGGACACGGGTCCTGGGGGGCGGGGCCCGAGTGTAGCCAAGGCTGTACGGGGGGGGGAGGAAAGGGGGGGCGAGGCCCGTGTCAGGTGCGAGCTAGCCCGCGCTGGGTACAGCCGGGGCCGCAGCAGTCGGCCTCGGGAGTGGGCGTGTCATAGGGGCGGGGCCTGGGGGACAGCCCGCCCCCGCCGGCCCGAGCGGCTCCGCCATAGGCGGGCTGTCCCGCGTGGGGGTTGCCATGGAGACGAGTCGCTAGGCGCCGGGTGTGTGGGAGCCGAGCTCAGACCGAGCCGGGAGCCCCGGAGCGAGAGGCCGGGAGGCACCGGGGGCCGCGCAGCGCCAGGGCCGGCACCACGCGTGGGGGGAGGCCGATCCCGGGTAGGGGCAGGGTGCTAGCCCCGGGAGGGCGATCCAGGGGGCCCCGGCCCGGCCCTGGCAGGGGGATCTCGGGGCTCTGGTCCTGGTCCCGGGAGGCTGATCCGGGACACCGACTCCATAGCAGGCAGGCTGTTGGGGAGCCCTGGTCCCGGCCCTGGCAGGAAGAGGCAAGGGGGCACCAGCACTGGCATGGGGCACCCAAGGGGGGCACGTGTCCTATTCCCGGGAGGGTGATCCAGAGGGCACCAGTCCCAGCCCTGGCCGGAGGGCTGGGCACCAGTCCCAGCTCCGGGAGGCTGGTCAGTCCCAACCCTGACAGGGGAGACCCAGGGGGCGGACACTGGTCTTAGTCCCAGGAGGCCAATCCGGGAGGCACCAGGTTAGCTGGTTGTCATGTTCTCTGTGGGCTGCCCCGCTGGAGGCGGTGGCTCTTGTTCTCCCAGCAGCCCTTGGCCATGAGAATGGGCAGCGCAGGGTCCTCAGGCAGGGAGGAGCGGCTGCCATCGGGTGCGGAGGAGCAGCTGAGTGGTGGGGATCAGACACTGGAGCTGACCGGGCGGCACCTGAAGCGGCTGCCAGGCCCAGTGTGTGCCCTGGGCAGCCTGCAGAAGCTCTACATCAGTGGCACTGGGTTGCGGGAGCTGCCCGAGGAGATCGACGGACTGCGGGAGCTGCGCATCCTGGCACTGGACTTCAACAAGCTGGAGGAGGTGCCTGAGGCATTATGCCGCCTGCCCCGTCTCACCCGCCTCTACCTGGGCAGCAACCGCCTCTTTGGCCTCCCTGCAGAATTTGCCCAGCTCCAGACTCTGCGCTGCTTGTGGATTGAGAACAACTACCTGTACCATTTTCCTCGGGCCTTGCTCCAGATGCCTGCACTGCAGTCCTTGCAGATGGGTGACAATCGACTCCGAGCACTGCCGGGCAGCCTGCCGCGTATGACTGGCCTCCGGGGACTCTGGCTTTATGGGAATCGCTTTGAGGAGTTCCCACAGCCCCTGCTCCGCATGTCCCAGCTCCATATCCTTGACCTGGACCGCAACAAGATCATCGACTTCCCAGACCTGGCCCACCTGAAGGGGTTACGGCTCTTTTCCTATGACCATAATCCAGTTAAAGCACCACCCTGTGTGGCTGACACTGTCACCCTTGTGGGCGATGGGGCCCAGGAGCTGATGGAGGCCAGGGAGGAACGTCTCCAGAGCCTGCGGGAGCAGGAGGAGCAGGATGAACAGGAGGAGAATGGCTCAGAAGCCATGCAGGGCACCCTGAGGAATGACTCCTCTCTGCTAGAGGATGCTGAAGGCAGTTTCTCTGCCCTGGAATGCTCCCCAGAAGAAACATGAGAATGGGCACTACAACAACATGGTTGCTGCTCAGAAAATCTGGTGGACACTGGTGGGCTGGTAGATCCGCTTCTGCGCTGCAAGGGGTGAGAGTTTGCATGGACCATCTCTGGCCATGGGTAGCCACAGTCTCCCAACTAGAATCATGGGTTACTACCAGTCCAGGGAGTCATTATGTTCTTGCATGAGACAGGAAAACCATGAATCAAAAGGGTTGCTGTTTCCTTGCTGGGACCACAGACAGCAAAGGGGAGCATCATCTATCTGCAGGAGTGCTGGGCAATCACTGCACCCCTGAGGCATCCTGCATAGCCACAGGATGTGGGGGTTGGCAGGGTTGAAACCACAATGCTGTTGTGTTGGATAATCCCATTGGACCAGCTCTGTGGGAGGATGGTCCCTGTTTGAGATGGGCATTGATAAGAGCTGGCCTTCTCAGAACAGCCAGCCTGTGGTGGAAGCCTGGAATTGAAAGGACTTTAATGTGACAATCTGTGGCTGTTTGGTTAGGTATCTATGAGTGATCCCTGCTCCTAGCCAACCGGCCCATTGCCACGGGACTCAGATGCAAGACAGGAAAAAGCCATGCTGTTTGGTTTGGTGGTTTTTTTTAATTCCCTTGGACTCCACGCCCTGGAGGGCTACAGGGTTCGAGTCTGAACAGAAAAGCTTCTCACATCCTAGAGATTCCTATTCTGCTACTGGAATTAGACTCAGAGAGAAACGTCTCCCAAGCTGCTCCTTCCAGCTGTCAGCTTTGAAAAGAAGCTGATAGGAAAGCCTTGTTTGTGCGCAGTGCTCGCTCTCTGGCCTGGAAAGGGTTTTTGCCTCCGCTCTTTGTATGGTGGGAAAAGGAGCCCCGTGTGCTGCTTTGCAGGCTGCCTGGACTTTCCATTCCCTTAAATGGGCACAGAAGCAAAAGCTGGTATGAACTGGGCCACCAGGATTGTGTGCGTCTGGGGCAGTGGGGTGGCAGCAGCAGGACTCTTTCCAACTCTCCCTTTCCTCCTGGGGGTGGCAGGCTCATTCTCATTCCCCCATGGGCTAGATTTGTACCAAATCTAAGCAATAAAAAGTAGAAAACTGAGAAAATCTGGTAGTGAGAGAAAGAGGCTCCCAGGCTGATTCTCAGGGAGGCTGCTGCCAGGATGGTTTATTTGGAAAGAGTATGTAAACAGACTAATATGGCCTGGGGAAAGGGAACTGGGTTCTCAAGCATCTGTGTTATTTTTAACATTTTGGGGAATCCTGTTTCCTCTCTCTGCCCGTTTCTGAACTGTACTGTCTTCTCTGCACTCTTCCTCACTCTACTCCATCCCTCCCCCTGCCGCTATCATCTGTGACTCCCTCTGCAGTGTTACTCCTCCCTCACTTGGAGCTAGGTCCATACCTCTGTCTGAGCTCCCCTCCTCACCTCTCTTTCCATCTCCTCCCCTCCACACTTCCCTGGGCTGTGTTCACCCTCAGCCCAGCTTCAATCTCAGTAACATTATTGGCATGGCAAAGTATACCAGTATTGCCAAAGTTAATACACTTTGTCAAATCTCTGTGCCTTGGTCAGGAGTAACTGGGTTTTATACCATGTGGCCACTATGATCTATTGTGAATTTGCTGGCTGGGGGCCAGGTAGCATTAAGACATTTCCACTGTCTTTTTCCTTTCACTCAAAGTTATGTCATTTTTCTTCTTTGCTTTGCCGCAAAGAGTCTTGCTATTTCTGATCACTTGGAAAAGTCTCCTCTTCTTCTTTTGGATCTCATGCAGCAGAATAAAAAGTGCCTGTCAGTTTCAATCTCTCCTGTCACCGTGGGGTACAAAATTGCCCATCCCTGGGTTTCTAGTGGAAAGTGTCCTGGTTTTCGTTTTTGCTTTGGGATCACTGCTTCAATACTTGGTGAGAGCACAGCTCTGTTTTACACATTGCCCTGTAGATAGGGGGTCTGCTAGTGTGAAGAGAGCTAGAGCAATCTAGCTGCTTGTGTTGGTGATGTTCTCTAATCCCAGTAGCTAACATACTTTTCTTTTTTGGGGCTTCATGCAGTGTCTGGAAGAAGGTGGGAAGATGCTGCCTGTGTAAGAGTGGAGGGTGATTTTAGCAGTGCTTATGTCCCTTCCAGTGCAGCCTGTGTGCCAATTGCTGTACTCCCCACTCCCCACCCATAAAGATCTAGCAGTAGTTTTATCCGTGGGTTGAAGGTAGCCAGAGGATTTTAAAGGTCTGTAGCACATCCGGTAGCCCTTCCTGCTGCATGACTGTGAGGCCAAGGTGTGGCTTGTTCAGATGGGTTCTGCGGGTGTCTGCACAGTAACATTTTAATTTGCTTTGGGGCTTTAAGCCTGTGATTTTTGGTCTTTTCTAGGCTGATCTGACGGGGCCTGTGTGCTGCTGTAGCAGGTGTCTCTATAGCAGGTTCAGGTGCCTTGGGTGGCGATTATTCTGCCCAGTACTGATAACAGGAAGAGTATGACTCGTGTCTCTCAGAACTGCTCGGTCCCTCTCTGCGTCATTTTTGCTCCGGGGGATGAATTGGTCTGTGTGACTAGGGGAGGCCCAAACTGCATGATCTTGGTCCCGGAGCTGGCCCATCTGCACCTGAAAACCACGTCCTCCCTCTCTGTTGTTCTGTCTGAGCCATTGGGTATCTCTTTCTGAGTCGTGCTCCCTCTGTCTCTATTTCAGCGGTGTCCTCTCTCTCGGCCATGTCCTCTCTCACTTGCTCGCTCCCACCTCATTTGAAAAGCCCTTGTGGCACCTGAGGATGTGCCATCCCAGCTGCGTACCCTTGGTCATGAGTAGAGAGGCTGAAAGATCAGGCCAGGGAGCAGACACGGGCGGTGAGAGAGGCTGACTCAAGCTGCTGTTGGAAAAATGGATTCTAATTGTGCTATCGAAATGAGGGCGGGTGGAGGGGAAGACAATAACTCCTGACAGTTACAGCCCTTAGTGCTTCTCTGGCCCTTGTATTTCAAAGGACTGTACTGATCTGAGCTCCAGAGTTCTCCTGCCCCCATGTGTTAGGGGTGTATTGCCTGTTATCCCTATAGCACTCCGCAGTGATCTCCTCTCTAAGCCCACTGCTGCTGCCTGCCCTGGCTAGCTTGGTGCACTGGGGCATGCCTGCCTGAGGCTTAGCGCACACATGGGTTTATTAAGCTGGGTACACTGAAGCTAAACTGCTGCCTGGGAAGGGCCTTTTATTGCTGATTGTCCAGACTCCGATGAAATTGGTGGTGGGGATTCCTGTACCTCTTAAAGGTGTTTTGTTTACCGAGATCAGGAATGTTGCTTGACTGGAGTAGTTAATTCATTTCCCCTCTTCCTCCTGGTTTGAGTCATTTCTCTGCTCTCCTTCTCTTGATCAGCTTCAAGTGGTTTTATTAGGCTTCTTAAGGGAACAATTTCAAATGATTTCCTTTGCCGTTTCTTATAGTAACATCTGGAGTCAGCAAGAGGCTGTCAGGTTAGGGGAGGGGATTGAGACGCGAGTTACCTTCCTCCCCCTCTGCCAGAGGGGGACATTGGACTGGCGACAGTTGCTGAGTCAGCCGAGGAATCTGGTGTATGTGTGGCAAGAATGCAGGTACCCACAGGAACATTGCTTGTGCTAAAGGCTGACTGGCCCTGATTATAAATAAATTAATGGAGATATCCTATGTCCTAGAACTGGAAGGGACCTTGAAAGGTCATTGAGTCCAGCCCCCTGCCTTCACAAGCAGGACCAAGTACTGATTTTGCCCTAGATCCCTAAGTGGCCCCCTCAAGGATTGAACTCACAACCCTGGGTTATCCCTCCCCCCCCCAAAAGCACCTAGAACACCCACTAACAACTATTGTCATCACCTTCTTTTCAGGGGGGAAATCCACCCCATCCCCCAGCTCTGGAGTATGCAGTACTCTGGCCAGCACTTAAGAATCTATTGCTTGATGTGACCCCCATTACAATCTCCTGTGCTGTTCAGTGATCATGCAGAGCCAGGAAGTCTGACTGAGCATGAAGTCTAAATCCTACTGCCCATTTGTGAAGGTGGAGTGAATTTCTACTGTCCTGCTCCAGCTGATCAGAGCAGTGAGTCTATCCCATCTGGTATTTCACCTCCTTGAGGCATCAGAGCAGATCAGTGATCAGCTGGGCCAATATCCCTCCTCCTTGTTATAGTATAATAGACCTGTGGTCTGTCTATTCTGGTATCCTGCCTCTGGCAGTAGCCAGTATGCTCCCCTGCATGATACATCTAATTGTGCAATACCATAGCAAGGCAGTAGGGGGCGATAATGTTTCCTGATCCCAGACGGGGATCAGCTTTCACTGAAGCATAAGAACCTGTGGATCTCTCTGAACTCTTTTCCCCCATAACATCCTGCAGCAGTGAGTTTCACAAGTTACTTGTTGGAACAGTCCAAAGACTGTTTCTGTGGAACAGTCCAAAGACTTCAGACCAAAGGTTTACATTTTTTATTTTAAAAACAGTCAGCGTTGCAAGACGTTTTAACTAAAGCTGGTCAAAAAATGTTCAGATGAGACAGTTTTCTCAAAACTTTCTGCGGGAGCTTAGGGATTTTGACAAAATGTTGTTAAGAAATAAAAGTGGAATTGAAGTGTTTTGTCAAAGTGAAGGTCAAAGTGGAATGTTTTGACCTTATTGAAATGGAACATTTTGATTTTTCATTTTGAAATGACTTTATTTAGAAATTTATTTTGTATTATATCATTAACATATAAACTCTTTCAAAAGTCAAAATCTGAACGAAATGTTTTGTTTGACCTGCAACTAAATTTTTTTGAAAATTTCATTTCATGGGAAATTTCACATTGTTTTGTTTTCATGTTGGTGTGGTGCAAAACCAAATTTTGAAATGTTGGAATTTCCTGCAGAATAAAAAGGCGGCGTTTCAACCAGCTTTAATTGTAACCAATAAGACTGCAGTATGCAAATGAACTAAAGTCAAGTGCACTGAGTGATACGGAATGTTTGTGAGTTGTGAAGTTCCAGAATTGTGTTGAGATCTGGGAGGCCTCTGTCTAGGGTTTTATCCAGGGTTGGCTTTGTTGCCTATGCATCAAGTGTGATACAGCTATGCTGCCCGGTATCATAAGTTCACATTCCAGCTGGGTTGACTTAGCCTTTTTTTCTGAGAGAGAGAAACTGAGCACCAGCCATTAATTGGAGTGGTCCGGTTTGCTCTGTATGGACATTAAGATTAAGATTTTGCCCCTGCTCTCTGGTGTTCTAGCACAGTGGTTCTCAACCAGGGGTACATGTACCCCCTGGGCGTATGCAGAGGTCTTCTGGGGGTACATCAGCTTATCTAGATATTTGCCTAGTTTTATAATAGGCTACATAAAAAGCACTAGCAAAGTCAGTGCAAACTAAAATTTCATATGTCTTGTTTATACTGCTCTATATACTATACAGTGAAATGTAAGAACAATATTTATATTCCAATTGATTTTATAATTATATGGTAAAAACGAGAAAGTAAGCAATTTTTCAGTAATATGTGCTGTGACACTTTTGTATGTTTTTGTTTGATTTTGTAAGCAAGTAGTGTGAGGTGAAACTTGGGGGTATGCAAGACAAATCCCATTCCTGAAAGGGGTGCAGTCACTGTTCTAGAGTGTGCTGTTTCCTGGCTGCATCCCACCTTTCACCCCAAAGGTGGGCTCTGTTCAGAGATGCTGTCTGAATGGTTTATAGCAGGGGAATTTTTGGTCAAGGTATAGTCAAGGTCTTGACTCCAGAGAAACATTTTTCACACCTCAATAACAATAATGATAATAAGTAAATAAAAAGATTTCATGGTCCGTTCGAAAGCCTCTGGCAGTCTGGATTTGGCTTACGGTCTTGTCTATTGACTACCCGGTTCATAGTGTCTGAAGTGCTTTGGGATTGAAGACGCTATAGTAATACAAGATAGTGGCATTCACACCTCTATGTACGAATGGGACAACCTGCATGTATAGAGAGTGGCATGTATGCACACCACTGCTTTCTACTGAATAAAATCAGAAATGTTTTTCTGTATGTCAGAGGCACTCTACTGCTGATAGCTAAAGGAGATTCCCTTTTAGCTCAAGGAGCAGGCGTCTATGCTTTTTGAAGCAGGAGATCTGAGTTCTATCCCCACTATCACTTGCAAGGTCTGATTTGGCCCCAGTGTGCAACACAATGACAAGCACAAAGTTCGTAGATGGCCACATTTTTGTTGCAGTCCCATAGAAAGGCATTTGGATGCTGAAATAACAGTTTCCCCTCCTTCTTGCCCTGCTTTTTTGTTGGGGCCATTACTTCTGCTGCTCCCCAGCTCTTCTGCCTGGCTGCCCCATGCTACCCCCGTGAGTCTGACTTCCCCAGACTCCCTCCATCTGTCTGCCTGCGCTGTGCTTCCCTTGTGGCATTAGACTGCCTATTTTTCACTCCCTTGAGGGCATTAGCTGGAGGGAGTCGAGAGAGGGTCCACAAAAGGAATGGGATCCAATCTGGGAGGCTGGTTTCAGGCACAACAATTGCATCTGCACAGGGGTTGGGATTGGGCCTGCATTCCAGGAGAGCATTTGCAGGTCTGGTCATGAGCTGATCTGATGCTGCAGGAATCCAAGTGAGACTTCACAGCCCTAGCACTGTATGCAAATAGCTTTGGCATGTGTGCATCTTTGGGTCACAGTATAGAGCATAAGATTTGTATGTATATAAGCGGCATATTCTCCAATATCCAGCGTGCACTGCTTTGTGTCTTGTTTTAATCACAGTTGTTAGGAGCATGCTTCTGTTTCCATCTGCTCCTGCTGACTGCAAACATAAGGCAGCCTAGGAGAGAGGAAGTCTCACTTTAGAAGGGCATGATTCTGAAAGGTTCAGGGTAAACAAAACTAGCAGGTTCACTGCAAAAGGGATTAGCACATTTTGTTACCTCTCCCTTCAGAGAACCCTTCTCAGATGTACAATGTCTGCTGGAAGAGAAATACGAATCAGTCGCATTGACTGTGGCAAGTGCAGGAGCGCTGACAGCTTTTTTGCCACCCTAGGTGGCGGAAGGTCCCGCCCCCGAAATACCGCTGACGACTGGGGCGGCCGTAGATCCGGCCGCCGTGGTTGCCGACCCTCAAATGTTAGCGCGGTTGCCTAATGGGTTGCGGCCGGCCCTGGGCAAGTAGTTTCGTATGACTATTCTGCTCTTTATACTGAAACAAGCCAAGCATACGCAAGACCTGATCCTCAGAAGGTATCAGTTGGCCTAGTTCCATTGAAATCAATGGAACTACACCAATTTACCCCAGCTGAGGTTCTGGCTCGCAACTGGATTCTATTCCTTCTGCACTGATACCATCAGCAGAATTGTGTACTCAGGGTCTGTCTGCACTGCAGTCAGGGGTGTGATTGCAGCATGTATAGACATACCCAAGCTAGCTTTGATGGAGCTGGATCAAAGCTAGCTCGAGTAACGATAGCAGTGAATCTGCGGCAGAATGGAGGGCAGCTGCTTGAGTGTGTCCCCAGGGTCCTGGGCAGGTGGGCCTAGCCCAGGCAGATGCCTGTGTTGCTGTAGCTTTACTGTTCTTGTAACTGGAGCTAGATCAAAGCTCACTCAGGTCTGTCTTCACATGCTACAGTCACATCTCCTGATTGCAGCCTAGCCATGCCTTAGTTCCAGTCATTTACACATGTGCAACCCCATTAAAGGCGAAGAGGTTTCACCAGTTTTGCTGAGGACATAATCTGAAGATAGGGGGCTGCAGAGATGTCAAGAAAGGTCCAAGTTGGCCTGCAGAAACTCTCTAGCTGGTGATGATGTAGAAGAAGGAAAGAATTAAATTTAGTTTTCAGAGCCTAGGGTGAGTTTTAATGGCTGGCTTCTTTTTACTTGTATACTAAGCACATTTGACCTGGAATCATTGAGAGGCGACAGATGTAGAACATCACGGTGCCATTTCTATAGTGTCACTTTTCAGAGTAGAATCACACTTTAAAGTCAATAAGTGAATTCTGATAAAGGTTGAGGAACCTTTGCCATCAACCTTGGCTTTGACCAGTATACGTTCTGTCCTTTGGACTGGTTCCTTAGCAAGACTGTTGCTTTGTGGATAACACAGATTAACTGTGCTGTTTACAATCTAATGCACTGGCAAAGTTTGCAGATTCCTTTGAGGAATAACAAAGGCCGTTGTCTAAGATAACCTTTTCTGGGATTCCATGTCTTGTGAGTGTGGCCCTCAGTTTGTGGTACTTTCAGTGGTGTTCAGGATTTCCAGTTCCAAGAAGTTTGTGTAATAATGCACAACATTCATATCGAGTCTGTTGTTCCACACAAGGAAGCAAACTACTGTCAATGGTCTGCCATGGTCTTGTTGGCATTCCATGAGGTATCATTGGCTCACTTGTATTTTTCATATATCTTAAAGCATATTGGACAAGCTGGTCAACTTGCTGACATGTACCAAACCAAAGGAATAGGTCACAGTTTCTTTGCTCGCCTTTCTGCATGCCCGTTAGCCAGAGGTTATGGGCCTACTACAGGAGTGGGTGGGTGAGGATCTGTGGCTTGCAATGTGCAGGCGGTCAGCTTAGATAATTGTGATGGTACCTTCTGGACTTAAAAGTCTCTGAGTCTATGAACCCAGTTGGAGAGCTTCTCAGTGCACATGGAACACCTGTTCCGGCCAAGTAACCCATCTTAGTGGATTGCCTCCCTTGGGCTCATGCTGCCAGCATGAGACAAAGCCAGAACTGCCTGAGTTCTGAAGCGCTGAGGTATGGGCAACTCCTGCTGTGCCCTCCTGCAGCGTGTGGTCGGCTCCTCAGTGTTCCATGGCCAATTCTTTTCAGACTGCCTTCGGTGAAGGGGCTGCCTGGGGACTTGCCAGCTTTGGCGGTGTTTGTCCTGGCTTTTGGTGACGCTTCAGCAGTGTTGTGCTAGTTTAGCTATGTATCTTTTACTGGTTCCTCGAGTAATCTTTCTTTCTTTCTTTCTTTCTTTCTTTCTTTCTTTCTTTCTTTCTTTCTAAACTGGGTGTTCAAGACCATGACCATTGGTGGTGGTGCTATCAGAACTTTGATTCCTGTGCTACTGCTCCTTCCAAAGTGCCTAGGCAAAGACTGACTGGCTGCCTGTGTCACTAGTGCCCTCAGGGCCTTGGGCCTATCTCCTCTACAGAGCGTCCTTCTGTGGGTGCAGCAATGAGACACTTCTCTGAACTCATTGCAGCTCTTTGGCACTGAGATTAGCCTTGCAGTACACTGTCCTGTTAATGCGCTTGGGCTTTGTGCCTTTGAGCTCCCACTCCTCTGGAGTTTACCCTTGACGCCAGTATGCATATAGAATCGTAGGACTGGAAGGGACCTCGAGAGGTGCTCTAGTCCCCTGCACTCATGGCAGGACTCAGTATTATCTAGACCATCCCTGACAGGTGTTTGTCTAACCTGCTCTTAAAAATCTCCAACCATGGAGATTCCACAACCTCCCTAGGCAATTTATTCCAGTGCTTAACCACTCTGACAGTTAAGAAGTTTTTCCTAATGTCCAACCTAAACCTCCCTTGCTGCAATTAAAGCCCATTGCTTCTTGTCATATCCTCAGAGGTTAAGGAGAACAATTTTTCTTCCTCCTCATTGTAATAACCTTTTATGTACTTGAAATATATATTATGTACATGACTGGCCGTTGTACCTGACACTGACGCCACAGCTTCTTGTGCGTTGTCTTGTGGCCGTGGGCTCTTAATGATGCGTGAATGCCTGTGTGTGAGGCTTTTAAAGAGAGAAGTCTCACTCTCTTGGCTGCTGAAGTCAAAGACCTAGGGTGCAAAAGGTCTCAGTGATTGGGAACTTCATTAGCTGTAGTGGGTAGATTGACATCTTTTGTGCCTGGTCAAGTCTTCCATATTCCACAATATGCTGGAGCTGTGCCTTTCCAG